ATTTTATACTAGGACTGAGGAGTTCCACTTTGACATGGACATGATTTGAATTTTTTTTTTTTTTTTATACACGGGTATGGCCGACAGGGGACTATGTAGCCAACAGCAGTATGCATACCAATACCAACAGAAAGAGTAACCTCGGGATGAAAATGTGAAGATACCTGAGATGGAGCTAGGCTGCTGGAAAGTGGAGGAAGAGAAAGTAGTGGCTAGATCTGGACCGCCGGCAGTGACTGGAGTGGCTGGAGTTTGGACCACCTGCGAGGAGTGGAGCTCAAGCCTCAACGACCGTTGGATGCTAGAGAACAGAGGAGAGGCGTGATCTGAAAGTGCAGCGTTTAATGAAGAAGCTTAAGGAGATAAAGCAATGGCTGGAGGCTGAACCTGGAGATCGACAGCTGCTGGAGAAAATAGGAGAGGCACGATTGAAATTGCAGGGTTAAGTCAAGAAGAAGGTGCCCTCAGCCAAAACGACGTCGTTTTAACTGTGGATTCTTTTTTTTTTTTTTTCCTTCTTGCATAATGTACCCGTCAAATTTCGGTGTACCGGCCAGTACCCAAAATTTCGGCCGGTACACCAAAATTTGACCGGTACGGTCGAATTTTGACGGGTAAGCTCCAAAACCAGTACGTACCGACCGTACCAGCCGATACGAAACGGTACATACTACTTTGTGTTACATGCAATTTAGAAGGAGTGAAACGTTGAGTATTAGGTTAGGAATTAAATTTTCCTTAAAATGCTAGATGGAAAAAAAAAAAGAAAGTGGCCAACTCATCATCTTACACATGTTTTATTTGACATGTCATTAAAGTTTTAAGAAAAGGATTGATTTTGTGCCAATTTAACGTGTCATTTGGCACTTTCATCATGGAAGGACTAAATTAGTCTCAAAAATTGAAGTTTAAATATATTTTTAATACTTTTTAAAGTTTGAAGGTATATTTTATTCAAAAATGAAAGTTGAGGGATCAAACCGAATATTTAACCTAAAAAAATCATTATCAGTATCATCATGTATTTTACTAGAAGTATCTCCTTGGTAAATGGTGTCATCATGTTAGACCATGCAGTGTCTGCCACATTTGTTCAACTACTTCGATGCCGTCCAAATTAAGAACTTCTAGGATTTTGCTAAGAAAAACTACAGGGAATTATATAAATATAAAATAAAAGCGAACTTCTGGATTGTTACTTCTGCTTTCATTTGTCAACATCGTTTCTTTTGTTCTTGCCCGAAGGCATTGTTATGTGTTTACGTGCCCATGTAAACCTCTATTATTCTATAATTTGCAGAACAAACATGCACTACTGTCTTGCCTCCTTGTTTTTTCTTAATTTTTTTAATTCACCAAATAATGAACTATACAACAAAAAAACACTTTTTTCTTCTTAAACCTCTCTTTACTCATTTTAAAATTTGAATTTGAAATCTTTAATATGAAAATTCAAAATTTTAATTACCAAGCTGTCCCTCAAGGAACACTGTCCTCGTCTCCTTTTGACTGTTGTGCCAGGTTGTTTTTCTCTTTCAGCAATCGGAGATGTTGATCTGGGTACGTTACATGCTCAGGACTGGCATTCAATGTAGCAGTCCAACCGTAAAGCTAGGAGGAGTTCCCTCTTTGTCAACTTGTTGATCGATGGATCAACGTTCAAAAGTCGTTCAAAAGTTCCCCAAAGCTGTTTCAACGAGAGCAACAAGAGGATGTATCACTCCAAAAGGATCGGCCAGTCCTCTTCCTCCCATTCATGTAAGGTTTCGAATTACTTGCCCGCGTACATGAATGGTGCTATTAGTATTACAGAAATTTCTATCCCTTGTTATCAGTAGATCGAACTAGAATTTTCGTTGCCAAAGGCTCCATGACATATTATACATGCAATGAGAATGCCTTTCATAAACAATTACAAAGGTTGAATTACACCGTACACATGGAACCTCTGATCTGGGAGGGTTGCAGTTCTATCTTGAACATATGGCACAACCATGTACAGGGGAAAACAGAATCTATATCCTTTGCTAACAATACAAATTTATTCAAAGCGTGTCAATGCTGAACTAAGATTCTTTGATTCAGAATATGTCACGTCACTGCAAATTGTAACCATCGAACTTGAGCAGACTATTTCAGCATTATGAAGGGTGAAACCATGGATGATGGGCAAAGGAAAGCCTTTTCCAAGATGTGCATTAGCGTATGGCAGAACAACAGTTTGTGTGATCGTCCACATAACAGGCTGCAACGGTTAAAGTTAAAGGTAAACTACTTGGTGGAAAACATTCACGATACTGTTTGTAAATGGATTAAATCATCTTTAACCACCATTAATTTAAAAAAAAAAAGAAAAAAAAGAAATCTGTACCTGAATCAGATACATCCGTAGATTGCCAATTTGACTCCATTTCAATGACATTGCAAGGTCATCCAATTTTACACTACCAGCAAGGTTGTTTTCGATGATTTTAACCGATGCCAAGCCACGAATCACCTAATATAAATGAAAAAAACAATGTTGATTTTGTGAACACAATACAAGATTTTTAAAACCATATTTATCGTGCCCTAAAGTTGATATCAAATAATATCAAATAATTAAGGCATTAACCTATATATTCATTTATATGCAACTGAAGATCAATATGATACAACTCAAAGCCATTAGTATTTCCAAAGTAGGCATTTGACTAAAACAGTAAGAAGATAATCCTTGCATCATAATAATCAACATGTCAAAGACTCAGGGAAATCTCACTAATTCATAATGGAATATTGTATTATTGTAAAAATATGCTCACGTTACAGAAGTGAGAGAATTTAATCTAACCAATGTAACAATACCAGATTTAAGACAAATCACTCCTCACTCAGGGAAACTTAAATATGCCATCTGAATTCCCCTGGCCACAATGATGATGCAACTAAAACTTTTAAAGTGTTCCCTTATGGAGTTCTACTTAATATCTGAGAATACAGGCCACTTATTCAGGTATAAAGTGTATGAGAACCTAATCAAATGCAAAATATCATTGTGTAATCTCACTAGCAATAGCGACATAAGAAGATGGCTATCAGTAATTTCAAATCATTCAACATTCGCAGGAAACCTCACCTCCATCAACCACTGTCATTACCGTCATCAACACAAGAACAATGGCAAAGCAAATCAAGAAAAATAGAGTAACAGCAACAAAGGGAAAAAAGCACAAAACAGCTATAAACATAAATAACACATTGAGGATCTATCTATTCTCTTCCTGCTCTATTATGGAGGGTGAGGTCTCACCATTGGAAAAAAATAAGAGGAAAACATGCATACAAGAAGAGAAGATTATAGATTTGTAATTCTGTCAAATTTTGATTGGTGAACTCACCAGTGAAATGCATGCAACAGGTATTACTTGGCCAGCTTCCACCACATCAATTATCACATCTGCATAAACAGTAGCACCTATATTTCGTTCGGAAATTCTTATGACTGGAGGAGAAGACAAAGAAACATTCAAATTCATATCATCATTTGGGTATTTTTTGTACAGTTGAGGGATGATAAATCGCCATCCAGCAGTGTTTAGAAGTGACTGATCTGGTACTTTATCCACAATCCACTGCATGAATGCTGCCTGATCACCCAGGAAGAAAAGTTCCATTTTACGGTACAACAGAGATGCCATGCCATCAAGAAGCAGCATAAACTTGAAATAAAAATTATACTATTAAGAAATAAATAAATCTGGACTAGGAGGTTAGGGGTCATTGTCTGGTGGAGTAACAAACATATTAGCTAACAGCCCAAAGACATTTTCTTGGCTTAAATTCTACCATAAGTTAGGAACATCAGTGCTATCCTTTTTTGATATGGCAGATCCAGATTACGAACTGTATCTTAGTGTTAGTACAATCCAACAAAAAATTCATTTACTTGAATAACTCTACTACTGCAGTAACTACAAGCTAACATAAAAGTAAAAATAGCTTTAAGCAAATTATTCAATCAAACAGGAAAAGAGGCTGCAAACTTGGCTTTCTGAACTTACATCATAGTATAATGCTGCCGCAGAGTTAAAAACAGCTTCATCTAATGAAATTCCAAGCATTTTTGATTGATCTTTGCAGAAAACTGATGGATGAAAACTCTGATGGTAGCGCTTAGTCACTGGAACATTTTTCCTTCTTGTAAATAGCCCACTGATGTGAAATCCAATAGAAGAATTGCTCAATAAAGGATTATCTATAAAAGTAACATTCAGGGAAGCATTATCATCCACTGGGATTTCTTTTGGAAGAGCTTGCAGAAATGAGTCAAGCCTTAAAATTCCTTCCTTAAGTTTCTTGGCAACAGCATTTTCCACTGCAGATGCTATCTGCCCTTCAAATGCATCAATCATCCTAAATACAGAATGAAAATGATTAGCATATGGCAAAATGAAGCATTGTTCCTTCAATTGAAAGATAGAAAATTGAAAAATAGCTAATACTAAAACCAGTCCTATACACCTGTAAATAATGATGAAATGATATAACAAATTTTTTTTTTTTCAAGTCTTTTATCACCATCAACAGTTCAAAGCAATCCAGCAAGTGGTTAAATGTTTTCATTTATTAACGTGGAAGAGAAAGTAGTAGAATTATAGTAAGACATAACTCCAGTAATCTCAAATCAATGATTCTATAATGGAAGCTTGTTGAAAAGGTGGCAGCACAGGGGAAGCATACAAGAATGAAGGAGAGAAAAGCAGGGAACAGCTTATGTGAAATCTAATATAGAAAAAAAGCTGCCAAAAAGTTCAATGAATTAATTGAACATTTCCCAGTTGGCCAAAAAAAATGAACATTTTCCCAATACCTTTTGTTTGCAGTCAAACATTTTCCCAATACCAGTATGGACATTTTCAATGAATTTGAGGGTGAAATAGCCATTAACCCAAAGGATGATTTATCCCAAAGAAAATGCATCAGAATATAACATAGGAATATAAATTTAATGATTAGAAAGGCAAACTGCACTGCTCATACCACAAAATAGGTGATATGAATTCAGAGCTTGAAGTTAAAACTTGAAAGCCAAATTCCAGTATCAAGTACAATATATTTAGTTGGTTGTCATAAAAATCACATACCCTTGATAAAGCCAAGAAGCTCCTCCATCCAATTTAATAGAGATATCTGTCACATAACAACCGCAGTCCATAAGGGACAACATTAAAGTTCCTCCGTGGTTCTCCAAGCCTATTGTAAGTCCCACTTGCATGCCATCAACCTTAACCAGAAGCCACAGTCAGCAATTTCCTCCATTAAACCACAAATGAAAACGAGTAGCCAAGAACATAGGGAAAATGGAAAAAGTTTTCAGGCCACATTTATGTCATTATAGTCATTCAATAAGGATCTTGAAAAAGGTTATAGGATCGATTTCCAGAAAACTCAGTTACAACCCTACAAAGAGTTGCACATCACAAAATTGATTGCAAAGCAGTGCCCCTCAGGAAAGTAGAGTCATACCTCCAACTAAAGACATCATGCTAATAAAATTAATTACATAATCACAATTTTAAAACAACTATAACCTAAATACTACACAGTATTCCTCCTAAGTCCACCATATTCAAAAAAATGCTCTAAAACATGGTTTAACTTTAAAAGAATAAAGATTTCTAGAAATATTAAACCCCTCATATTATTCCAGACAGCACCACCTTCTATGCACCAACAATACTTGCATAAATGTCACTCATAAATTTGAATTGCAAAAATTACATATGATACGCAAATTCAGGGTAAAAAGTAATGACTATATCCAGAAAAAGGAATACCTGAACTGAAGCACTGCCTTTATCAGAAATCTCAAGGGGAAGAAGCCAAGAACTATAAGAATAATGCCAATTCATACTCAAGTTACAAGTAGCCCCTGAGGCAACAATGGTGATCCCATGATCACCAGGCTTAACATAAGATGACAAAACATCGATTTTGTAAATTGTGATGTTTGATAGTACCATATGGACATTGCCAAGAAATGGAAATTTGGCAGATTCTTCAATTCTCGGCAGCTTGAGGGGGATCATTGACAAGATGGCTTTGCTGATGAGCAAATTCTTCACAAAATCGAGGCCCTGTTGGGATATGAGGATTGATGTAAAGGACTCGTTTGGGTCTGCCAGTAACTGTAGATGAGCTTGTGAAGAAATGAAGACAGAAGAGAGGAGGAGGAGAATAGTTGCCACTGCCATGGATGGCAGTGGTGGAACCAGGATTATTTGTGTGTAGTATAGGGGCCTGTATGCCTTTGTGCTCTGTCCTGCTTATTACAATAGAGCATAGATTTAATTGACAACAATATTTAATATCAATAGAAAGTGCACTTCAAACAAATAAAATTGAGAGTTGAGCAAATATTGACATATTACATATGAGGGTTCATTCTCGTCAAGCAAGCACACATTCAATATGAGCTACAAGTTTGCATTCCTTGCAATAATAAGCTAGCGTGATGGTCGGGTTTCTTTCTTTTTCCAAAAACATGGCAATGGTGTTGCCTTACCAAATCTTCTTTTATTTTTCTTTATTTTAAACCAGATTTTCTTCCATTAATTAATTAATATTGAACTCACAAGCCAGAGTTCATGCTCATGATAGCAATTGAGCAATGTCTGATATCTTCAAGCATTCTAAATGAGAATCAGTAGGGAGTCTCACACAACAGTAGAAAGCATCCATACATCAATCAATAAATCCTCTTTCTAAGAAGGAGTGGAATCAAAAACCATAAGAGAAAGTCAGAGAATCAGTGAAACCTCTATACCTAAACACAACATATAAAAGTTAAATCCAAAATTCACCACAAATTAAATTAAAGAATTGGAAAAGAGAAATTACTAAGAACAAACATCTACTACTACAAACAGCATCTCAACGATAATATGATTCTACACTGATTTATTTATTATCAACAAAAAAGGAAAAACCAAGCATCGTCGGTCGGCAAAATAAACAGAATCATATTCGTTCGACAAAATAAAATAAAATCCAAAACAGCTCCAGTTTCTCAAACAGACAATTATACAGCGGAAATACTCACGGGTGAGTAACCAGACAAGATCTAGAGTCAGGACTCAGGAGATCGACCCAAAACTGAAGGTGATGTACTGATGTTTTCTTATGAGATTGTGTAAGGATTCTCGGGGTGAGAGATAGGCGATGGACGGGTGGTGGATGGCGGTTTGCGCCGGGGGGCAGAGATTTTGTAAGGGGAAGGTACCGTCTTGAATTAGCAAGGAGAGAAAAGGAGTCGTGGCATTGCGGGCATTAGGTGTCAACAACGTAAACAAAACTTCTGTTAAAAACTGATAGAGAAAAAATAAAAAATAAAAAAAAAACTATTATCCGTTTCGATTATCCGTTTAAATTTACTGGATGGGTGATAGTTTACAAGTGGTGGTTAATAATTAATAATTATAATTAATAATTATTATTGGATCAACTTGTGAGTTTATTGGTTCACTCATCAAATTTAAAAGTATGGTTTATATAAGTTAAGGGTTCAAATCTCACTTATTATTTGGAAAAACACCATTTTCCCTAAAAATTTTTTATCTTCAAAATAATAATAATAATAATTATTATTATTTGTAATTAATATTTAGTAATAAAGTTGCTATTTTTTTTTTGAACAAATTCGTAAGAGGCCGGATTCGAACTGTTGCCCTGAAGTAAAGGAATGCACTTATACGTAACCTGACGCACTGAACCCGAAAGCCCAAATGTTGTAATGAAGTTGCTGGTTGTTTTCAATAAAATGTTAAATTATTATTAATAATATATATTATATTAGTACATCCAGGGAAGTATAAAATTCTATCTTGAGTAACATAAAAAAAGATTTAAGAAAATAAGAGAGTTACCTGATTTTGTATAATCCATTATTATCAGATGTGTTAAAAATATATATATTATATTAGTTAAATTACTTATATGTAGTTTTGAGTTTTTTTATTTTGGTTTCTAAAATTTAAATAATAAAAATTAATAATTAAAAACTAAACTTAAAATCAAAATTATCAACTTATTAAATATAAAATTTTAAAATAAATATCTAAAACTCTAAATTTATTTAATTTATAAAATTACTTAACTTTACTTTAAAGTTTTTAAATTTTAAAAAACATAATTTAAAATTCATAACCAAAACCATATCAAATAAAATTTAGAATTTATCTTTTTTTAATAAATATAATAATAATATCATATTTTCTTAATTTCAAAAAAAATAAAAAATAAATAAAATACTTGTAGGTATCTAACTTCGCAATTCATGTTAATAAATAATAATAATATCCCTTTTTTGACACCCTAATTATTTTAGTTTGCTAAACCCATTTTGCTTCTCCATCTTCTCCTGTTCTCCCATTCTATGATTAAATAATAATGATACTCATAAATTACTTCCATTATATTCTATTCTCCCATTAGATTACTTTTATTCTATCATTCATCATAAATTTTTTGAGGGGTAAATTTTTATAGATATCTTTCAACCAAGAGCAATAGAGAGAAATGGGAAGGAGATGTAGGCATTGATCCTGAAGGTGGTGCAAGAATGGAGATGGGGCGCACACCAGAGGGATCTTTTGCAAATCATCATTGACTTTGTGCTCGATGTTGCTTGCAAGGAAGCAAAAAATTGTGATTGATTATAATGTTTGACCAAGATTTATATCTTTCATCCTAATTATGTTTGTTTGCTAGGAAAACAATTTAGAGTTTATATGGGTATCTTCTTGATTGCAGGGTTTGAGGTGTGCCATTCACTTGGTTGTTCAGATTTTATGTTGGAAGGATTTCAAAACACTTTTAGAATTTGCTGAGGAAATTTTAAAGGCATATAAGTTAGTAAATAAATAAATAAATCACAAATGCTTTTGAATCCAACAGCTACCAAATGTAGTTATTGGAAAACAAAGCTGTTAAAGGTCTTTATACCTAATAATTAGTTGATTTCTACCCTTGACATAAGTTATTTGGCAAATACCAATTAGAACTGAACAGCTATCAGCTACCTTTATTAATTTGCATATTAAAAGTGCAATATATGTAATAAAATTAATAAAATTTTATTAATATTGTTATTTTATTAATAATAATTTATTAATTTTAGTACTTAAATTGCCTTTTTAGCTCGCAATCTAGAATGTTATCATGGCGCCCTGAGCATCTTTTTTTATCCTTAAGTCACACCCATAAGAATTTTTTTCCCACAAAATGCACCCTCTATTTTGGTTTCCTTTTTGTTGCTCGAACGGCGTCTCAAGCATTGTGGACCTCACAACTTGTGCTCCTTAATCCAGTGATCCACTGTTGGGGATTATTAGTTTTCCTTCCGTTTGGTTTCCATTTTGTTTCTTTTCTCTTTCCATTTTAGTGGTTTCTCGTTATTTGTATGGCTTCATGCTTTCGGCAAAAAGTCAATGTTTAGCTCCTCACCTTATCAAGTTTAAGGATTTTAGCCTTTTACTTTAAATTATGACATTTTTAATTTCTCATCTTATTTAGATTTGTAAGTTTTAACCCTTCACATTATACTATAACACTTTTAACCCCTCACCTATTAAGATTGAAAAAAATAGCATTCACTTTATAATATTTTATTAGTTCTATTAGCTGACTGTTAACTCTATTAACTGATTGTTAGTTGACTATTAGTTTACAAAAATTTTCTTTCAACTAACAGAGTTAACAATCAATATAAAATGGAGGCTATTTTCTTTGACTTTAATAGGTGAGGAGTTAAAACCTATAAATCTAGTAAGGTTAGAGGTTAAAAGTATTATAATGTAAGGTGAGAGACTAAAACCTTCAAACTTGCTAAGGTAAGGGGCTGAAAATAAGTTTTTACCTATGTTTTTTGCTTACATCTAGCAGCATACAGTAGACGATCAAAAGCTACACCATTGTCTTTGATAGCCATAATGAAGAAAGTTGGATTTACTGTTAGTATGTGTGAGGATAGGTCCAAGATTCTTAATCTCGGATGTACTACTATGATTCTTTAATAACCGATGTGAAGTTAAATCCAATCCTTCTCGATCAAATGGTTGTACGATAAGTACAGTAAACATGTTCACACCTAATTTCCCACACATGATTTTTTGGTCCCAAAATTATCACCTAAAGGGACACGTCACAGTTCGATTATGTTGTTAAGCAAACCACGTGGTCACTTGGCTAAGACCTATAAATACCCTCAAAGGTCACTTCAGAAAGGTAATTGAAAATCGACATAAAGTTCTTTTTTTCATTATTTTAAAGGTGGATCCGATTATTGCTGACTTAAGTATCAAAGTGTTTACCCTGAGGACCACTTCGGGGCTTTGCAGGTATATCCAAAGGGGAGACACGGACTAAAAAAGGACTTCTAGGTTGGTGCAATTACAATATGAATCCTCAAGCCTCAAGGCATGAAATGGTAGGGTTTGTGTTAAATTTTTCTATAAAGTAGAATGAAAGGTGTCCAATATATATTAAAATTTTCAATAAAAAAATATTTGAATAGAATTATTTTACTTGGAGGTGGATCTTGTCACCATCTTTTTTTAACATTAAAGTGGAGTAGAACTTGATGTATTCTCTCTTTTTCTTTTTTATCCCTATTTATTGGTTAATATGTTATGTATAATGGTAAATTTTTTTCCATTAAAAAAGTATTTTTCTTGTTTATATAGATATATATAATTTTTTTATTTTTATCAAACTTTTAGTATCTTAAAATTATATTGAAATTTGATTAATTTAAAATTAAATGGTGTTAAGTTTTATAAGAAAAAATTTTCTTCATACTTATCCTTTTATTAAAAAGATTCAAATTTAAAATTTTATTAAAAAAATTAAACTTTTTTTTTTCAAATTAACAAATCATTAATACATAAAGCTATTTTTTTTTTTTTTTGAACAAGTTGTCAAGGGGCGGGTTTCATGGGGAAGGGAGAATGTACCTCAAGCTGGTAGGCTACCAGTTGATCCGAAGGGTCAGGTGTCATAAAGCTATTTTTCATATCTATATAAAATTTTAAAAAAAGTATTTTTTTGTCCACATTTAAGAAAAAAGTTTTAAAATGTCCATAAAGTTATATAAATCTCCTTAATGAGTACTTTCTTACAAATTTATTGATTAAAGATACTTTATTAGATACTTTATTAGTTTTATAAGTATTCTGCATATTTTTTTTTCTTCTAATCAACTTAGAAATTCGCAACCCTAAAATTTTACTCGAGTAGTGCTAAGGGCACTCGCTTTCTTACTCGCTTTGGACACTCGAACCCCCTTATGTTGCCACGTCTTAATGCAAAACCATGAATCGGTAAATACCAGTTTCTTACTTTTAATCAAATTAAAAATAAAAAATTGAAACCTGGTCTTACTTTTCTTCCTCATTGTTCGCTCTAAAGCTCTAGCTTCTATAGCCTTTCGGTGGGTTCTTTTGCCTATTGTTCCAACATCTTAATCATGTTTAGTTGCTTTTTCGACGAATTTCTCGCTCTTTGCCAGTTTGCCTTTCGTTCCTCACTATAATTGCACCAAACCAAAAGTTCTTCTTCAGTCCGCGTCTGCACCGGATTGACCTGCAAAGCCTCGAGGTGGAACTCGAGGTAGACACTTCGATGCTTAAATCAGCAATAATTAGGGCTACCTTTAGAGCGGAGATAATAGGAGCTTAGGGTTGGTTTCAATTACCTTTTTGACGTGGCCCTTGGGGGGTATTTATAGGCTCTACCTTTATAGCAAGATAATCGGAGCCTGACGTGTCTATCCAAACGGTTATTTCGGGACTCGGAATTTGAGGGATATTCAGATGCAAGGATGTCCATTATAGCTGCTGTGCAGCTCATCATAAAGAATTAGGTGCAGGTATGCTTATTGTCGTTGGTATGCAACTGTTTGAGTAGGAAGTTTTGGATTTATCCTTCGCTTTGGTTATACAGGAATTACTATCGTACGTCCGAGGTTGGGCACCTCGG